TGTTTAACTTTCAGTTATTTATCAACTGAAACTTTTTACTAGATATTTCTTATAACATATAGGCTATGTGCCTTTTTTGGCCTGAAATCTAAAATACCTACTGTGCATTGCCTCATTTTCCTTTAAATACCAAATATTAATGTAATATTGCTATAGGTTGTCATAAAATCAGCTAAATAATTGTTAGTTAGTATAAAATATGATACATGTTGCAGCTTTCTGAGGAATTAAACAAGTTGTGTGATTTTTTTCAGCCTTAAATTTTGTTCGCCAACGTACTGACTTGTTTTGCTTGCATTAACAAATAATGTTCACAACATATTCTAAACTGTCATAGAAACTGAAGAAACTGCTTTCAGTTTGGCGGAATGTTTACCATTTGGATTACGGTAAATTTCTTAGACTTTTTAACTCCTGGGAAAACTCAAAACTCCTGGTTAAGCTTTGTATTTAATTTGAACTGAATCTAGATACAGGCTAAACTTAAATAATCAAAGACTACAAAGTTTATTTATAACACTTGCCTCAGTTCATAACGTCATCAAACTGCTTCACAGATGTCCTCAATTGCTGCTATCGATAGATATCATTCCCGATTGGCAAAAACTGCATTTAAACATAGCAACTAAAAGTCTCATAATGCAGGTTAAGAACACAATCAGTATCTCTTAACAATAAATTCTTAAAAAATTGACCAGAAAAATCTAATATCTGCTTATGTTTTGTAACTCTTTATTAGTGATATGCATTTATTTGTTTATAAATATGGCAATACCATATTGTGCATAGCATATAGACGGCAAAACACTATATTTACGTTTGCTAGACATAATATGTTAGCTAAAAAGCTGATTAAATAACTATAGATTTGATTTAGGTGTATAAAACCACTACACATGACTGATTTATGAAATTGATTATACCATTTTGGGTTTATTTCTACAATTGTTGAAGGTGTCTTTTCATTTCATCTTCCCTACAGCAACTGTACGAAATCGGAAAAAAAAACATTTACATTAGTATATCATTCCTTCGAAAAAGTCGTCTGCTGAAAATAGAAATTGTGATATTATTGCATAAAAATCTATTTTTATTTTCTTGATATTATAAATATTATTAAGTGGGTTCAACAAAAATTTTTTACTACTTTTTTTTTTTTTTTTGTAAAATGTAATTGTCAAAAATGTGTTGAAGTTCTTGTTGAAAAAAACCTGTGTAATAACAAAATTTTATTCTGATATCCTAATATAGGGAACTGTCTTAATGGAATAGTATTACAAAATATGGAATAGTATTATTAGAAGGGAATAATTTAAGTAAGTTTTTCTATGTGTATTTCGTCCAATTATACGCTTATGTGTTCTTTAAGATGTTCAATATTTTGGTGAATATGTGTACAAGTGTAGACTACCAAAAAGTTGTGTTTTAGCTTATTATTGTTATATTTTATCTCGTTCTATAAATAATCTGAAATGTTCATTAAATATAAAATTAACATTAATCATTGTAGCCAATTGTATAAGACACAGAAACACATTTATATTTATACTTTAAACCAGTTTTTAAAAAAATCCAAAAATAGCAGCACTCTGTTCATTTTAAAAGAATTTAAAATTAATATCTAGAAAATTATTCTATATTTTATTGATTTTCAATATTTTTAAAACATTTTAAAATGTATATTGCAAATATTTGTTAAACAATTATGTTTTATCAAAATTATTAAGTGTTTTCAACATCACCAAAGCATTTTTTTGGAATGTGTCGCTAATAGATTAGGCTATTTTGGTTTAATATTGCAACTAAGATCTTAAACAATACCAAAAATGGCTCTCACTTGATTGATACTACATTGTGTAGCGAAAATACTAAGCTATGTACTCGATGGCAAATATTATTTTCTTATTCTCTCGAGATATGTTTTTATCTTAAATATCTCTAGAGAACAATTTCTCAAAAGTGACAGAGGACAATTGAGTTGGTGAAAGCCTAAATTAGATTATACCGCCAGCTCTCAATAATGTTTCAGACTTTAATCCGAAAGTATGTTTTAGTCCGTATACGAAACACAAAACTTCAAGGATATTAACTTGAAGGGATATTTTTGTACTGTGTGCTATTGTATGGGCTATTTATGTATATTAAATTAACTACATTAAGAAACAGAATTACACTCTGTTTTATTCACAAAACATTTTTTTTTATCTTAACATTTTATTTGTATTTTCAGTCTAATCCTGTATTTTAACCCAACTTGCTCATCGAATCAAGATAGCTCATTCATTTAAAAAAATGTATTAAAATCTTTTATGTAAAATAATGTCTTTATGTCAATACCAAAATATGGTCGAATGAATCCTCCTTCCAAGTGTCCACAAAATGCTAGAAGTTTTGGAACGATGACCTACCGACTTAAGTTTGGCGGTAAAAGGAATGAAAACATAGGAGTTGTGAATTATGTAGAAATATCCAAACAAACAAAGTTACCACCAAGAAATAATAAAAAACATTACTGACGCGGAAAAGTATATTGAAAATGAAAGATGTGATAAACCTGCAAAATGAAGAACCAAGAGCCAGCTGGCATTGCATTAAATTTATAAGTCAATATGAAGACATCAGCTGGAGTTATATGACCGGATTACAGCCTATCTCACAGGGTAAAACTGCTGTCTTATATTTTTACTGCTGTAATATCTTGGTTACAACTTTCAAACTTTTTACTTCCATGCCATTAAATTAATACCCTTATGTATCTTATTTTACAGAAATATAATTACAGAATAATTTTGGAATCAATAACTTGGTCAATGATAAAAGGTGTTGAGAATTCAACTTTTATTCTGTTTTTTAAGGGATTTTGGTTATGAGCCTTTAACTGTTACCTACTAATAGAATACAGTGATTCCCAAAAATGATATCTAGAAACTTTATTGACCATGAACTTTGTTATTTGAAAATGGTTAACAAAACGTTGCAGGGTTTAAATAAGATTACTCATGGAAGTCTACAAAATTTTTAAATAAATACAGGAATAAACATTCTATAAAGGCAAATAAATTTCATCTTTTGGAAGTTAACCTAGAAATTATTGTAGACATTTTCCATCATAATAAAAAACAAAGTTTTGGGATCTGGAATCTGATCCCGTCCTCAGGTGAAAATCTAATAAATGATAAATGTATAATGATATATAAACTTAGAAAAATAGATTGTTGTTAAACTTTAATACTAAGCTAAATAGGACTAGTAATTTAACTTCAAACATAATTGCCATGGAATAACATTTTATTATTAATAACCAAGAAGCTTTCTGTGATTTTTGCATTGTGATTAAATAAATATTTCTTCACTGCTTGTCACAAAAGAAGCATTCCGGGACTTGAAAATGTTTTCTTCTCGACTTCGCCTCGCTCGTAAACCGCTATATTTTCCCAAAAAAATTTTCACTTTTCTGGACTAGTGATGAAATATACTATTACTATTGTTATGTTATACTTAGCCGAGACCAAACAAATAACATAAGTAAACTATTAATTAGTACATTCTTAACTGACCCATATAATATGATTTTTAAGATACCCACGTTTAACATTAATTGAGTGCTGGCTATTATTCACTAGTTAATTATTTCCCAAAACATAATTTCAAGTTAGAAGTATTCATACTCAGCTTTAAAAAAGTTTATAATTTTGATCTTAGACCATCATTTGACATAAAGCTTTACAAGGCTTCATGTTACAATGCTGGTGTCAGTCTTGGGTACAGGCCAAGCATCTGCATTATAGCATAGATGTCATCTATGATTATAGATAAGACTACCTGTGCCAATAGCCACAATCCATTACACATTGATAAGGAAGTGTCATCACCTGATGCTGAGTGAAGCACAGGTCACACTAGGCTGTTTGCCAGCCGCTGGTGATAAGCAGCTGGCACCAGCATCACCGGCTCACCAATCCAGGCTGAGTAAGCTCAGTGTCAGCTGCGAATTTTGTGGTCACATTAAGCTGACAGTCGCGGCTTCTTTCAATTCGCCGCTGATGCCAGCCTAGTGTGACCCGTGCTTAAGACCCCCACTGGTCCTTTGTACATTGCAGTAAAATTTTACTGTTGACTTAATTTTAGTCAACTTAGTTAATTTATATTCTGCTGTTTATTGGACATAAGTGTTTCTTGCTTTCATTAACATAAGTATTTTACTACTAGTGGCTTGTAGGGACATAAGTCCCTAAAAACCTCAAATGGAAAAGAAAATACTGTAATATTTATTTCAATAAACTCAGAATCAAATTATCTATGTGTCAGGATAGATATGCCAGTACAATATAAATTTTGTGTAAAAAAAAAACAGTTTGTTGTTTGTCTTTGTTTGCTTATTGTTGATGTTGTTTTCAATAAAGAATTTGAATCATTCCAGAGGTTTTTTTTATGTTTTTCAACAATCAATAAAGAAACTAAGTACTGGTACTCATTTCTTAGTAAGTAAAATGAATTTTGTAGCTGAATAGCAACTTTTAGCGCAAAAATACATTGCTAAAAATTTAGGAAATTTTTCGCAGCTCCAACCCATTTGAAAACTGTTAATTTTTAAAAAATACTGCCAAATCTATATGCTTTTATACTTACTATCAATTATAATTGTGTAATTTTTTTCTAAGCCAGTGGCATTTTACAAGAGGTCAAACAAGTGCTAGTACAACTAAAGGTCTTTTCATGGTGCACAAGTTTGGGTTCACTAAATACACCCGTATAAGTGTTAAAAAAATATAAAAGTTTGCACTCATCCAATGCCATCATTCAATACAAACTTGCAATGCATTTTTAAGGATGAAAATGTCGTTTCAATATTATTTTTCTTTTATAAATGCCTGTAAAATTTAGTGCCACTTAGCTCGAGTTTGCATTTCAAAATATTGAACTGGTAAAAAAAACACCACATTTTGAGTTACAGATAAGATTCACTTTAAAAATTTTATTAAAATTCATAGAAGGTTGTATTGACTGTACACTGTAATATGTTATCTGAATAACTAGCTTCTTAATGATTATGATTATACATCAAATAAGAAAGTGTATATAAAGATCTAATTAGAAAGTTTATATTTGCAAAACTCATCAAAGTTTTCTAAGAGACGATTCTGCCTGTCGAGGGTAGTTTATTAAATTAAAAGTTTTCAAAAGAACCAATTAATCTACAACCAAGCACTTTCAAAAGTTTCCACCTAGCAAAGTTTTAATTCAGTTTTATTCCAAAACCACCTCCACCAGTTCCTTTCAATAGAGGTTTTATGAAAATAAATTAAATAAAATACTTACAATTAATTTTGGAGTTAAATTGATAACTCATCTTGTAAAAGTAGGCTAGTTGGTAAATAATGAGAAAAGAAAAACGTGTTCCATAATTTTAAGTTGTAAGTTAAATTTATATGTATTAAAAAATTATTATTGAAGTTAGATAAGCTAGGTACAGTTAAATGAGTTGGCAGGTACTTCCAAATTTGAAATTTAAATTATGTGTTAGAATAAATACCAGTAGCCAATTAGAAGGTAGGTTTGGGTAGCTGAGTGGTTATAGTGCTCTCCTATCAATCAAAAGGTCCCCGGTTCGATCCTGAGAAAAGTCAGTAGATTGTTCAAAAATGGACCAAGCTGTTCCTGATCATTGGGCTTTAAATAAATTATCCTGACTAATAAACCAGTTGATCTAAAGCCCCTCATACACGGGCGAGCATGTTCGTAAGCATGTTGGCAAACATGCTCGCGAACATGCTCGGCGTTGTCAACAGACGGACAAGCATGCTCGCGAACATGCTTGGCGTTTCCAACTGACGGACGATCATGCTCGTGGCTCGGTAGCGGTTCCTAGGCCTATTCTTGCTTCTCTTGTGCACGTGACAGTCAAGTTGTGTGTATTTATTTATTAAATATTTAATTACTTTATTTTGATTAAATTTTATTGGATGCTAATGCTGTTGTGGCTATTTGCGGTGGTGCAGTTTGTTTGGAAGAAGAAAGCAAAAGTAAGCCATAGCGCACTCAGAAAAAATAATTTTTCAACTAAAAAATCGCCACGTGTGCGCCTGCTTTTTTGCTGCAATTACAGCATTTAGTTTTTTGCAACATACGCATTATTTCTCAGAAATAAATCAGGGGTGATGACCGTGTGTACCAGGCCTTAAGTTATCGGATTATGGTTTTAAAAATGTTGGTTAAAATTCCATCACTATGTAAAAATATTTCTTGTGGTTTTGCTTATTCTAGCCTTTCTTATTTAACTCATTTAAATTTGTATTTATTGCGTTACCAACACAAATAAATATTTGTTTAGCTTCTGTAAACATTGATTCTAAATCTATTACTGTAATTGGAATACATCAGAGTATCAACACCTTGCATCAATACTTTGCAATGGCGGTAACGAAGTAATCGTTTGGAATCGGAATGGTGTTACTTGTAATGAGTCCACGAGTGTAACTAGAATCATAGTAGCGGCTACATCGATGAAATCATTTAGCCTTATTTCTACCCACTGTGGTTGAGTTGCAATGGCGAGCAACTTGGTCGCCATTGCAACATATTGGTCGTCCCCACAGACAGGCGAGCATGTTCGCGAGCATGTTTGTGTTCGGGCTCGCCAAGTCCGACGAGCCGAGCGCCAAAGCCCAACATGCTCGCCGCGACAGATTCCACACACGGGCGAGCATGTTCGTCGCCAACACCATCACGAGCAAGCTCACGAACATGCTTGCCCGTGTGTGGGGGGCTTTAGCCGGTAACAAAGCAAAGTAAATAGCTTTATAACTTTTATTTTTCTATAAGCAATCAATCATATGAGGATTTCTGGTCAAGAATAAAGATTGTAAAAATTCAAAGCTTGGAATATTGTTTGACTTTAATTGTCCAAATAATTAGTTTCAAATAAGGACATTTGAAGTATGTTTGAATCCAAGTTTAGTTAACAACATTATTGTAACATTAATTCTGTTCTTAATTCAGAATAATATTTAGCAAAGTAAAAAAAAACAATACTTGTGACAAAACCGAGAAGATTTAAAATTTTAATGGTAATGTATGTTAAATAAAAGTAGTAACGATTCGTTAGGAAAAGTTGAGCTTTTCTTTATGTATGAGGTAAACAGTGCTCCCTAGTTTTAGTGAATATTTGAATATTTAAAAGGTTTGTGCGAATATTTACAGTCAATTCTCTTCTATTTGCAGTTGCTAAAGAGGTTAAACTGAATTTTTTACCTCTAAGTATTTATTTGAGGTGTTAAAACATTTTTCATTCTGTTAATTTGCTATGATTTTATACACTGACTTTTTTTAAATCTGACTACTTTAAATTCTATGATTGATTTGGTATATTATTGAATTCTTACAGAAAAAACAAGGGAAACAAAAGACTGATTGAATAAAAAAGCACTGTGAAATAACAAAAATTAGAATAATTGCTGCAGACAAGCCATATTGGCTTTTGTGGCTGAGTTGTATGTGTTTTGTAAATTTGTATTTTTGGAAATAAAAAAAAATACACAACTTATTACAACTTGTTTACGAGACAACACTTACAAATCTTATTTGGGGAAAAGAGAAAAATATTTTGCTGATTGCTTGGAGTTCAATATAAATACAAGAGTGGACATTTTCTTTGAGAAATTTCCTGAACTTAGATAAGCACAACTTGGGAGGGCTTAAAATATTCAATCTCTTTAAACGTTGTGTAGACTGCAAACTAATTTAGGGTCACACTATTAAATTTAAGAACAATTACCCTATATACTACCAAAGTTTTAAACAAGGAAATATGATTTCCAGGTTTTTATGTGATTAAGACTGGTTTTGTAGGAACTAAAAATCCTATGGAACTAACATTGACCACAAAAACCACACAACACAACAAGATTTCTTGGATTTTAAAGATTAGAATAACCAATGTCTGTAAAAAAAACACTACTCCTGATTAGGTTGTCAAACACATAGAGCTGGCATACTGGTATCTTTTGCAATTTAAAAAAATCAAGAAACTTCGAAATAGATTGATATACTGTAAACAGTAAAATATAATGTTGTAGCATTATCTGTTGAAGAACATGAGTAAAACACATTCATAGCCAAGTTACAAGGTGAACTATGAATTTATCAACATAAAATGTACTTATACATACCAAATGGTTTATTAAAAATATATACATGATGTTAAATCTATTCTGTACATCTAATCTAACACATGAGAGTAGTATTCTTGGTAGACTTGTATGTAAGTTTCCTTCTCATGAGGTGACATTTCTTGTATCAGCTGGTCATCAACTTCAGTTATCGGGACAGTTCGTTCTCCTACAGTAACGACTGGAATGAGATCATCTTCGTCTGAATCCAGAGTTTCCAATTCTGAAAAAAACATTCTATTAACAATTCTTACTAGCATACAAGACAAGTAGTCCCTTGACAATATGGCTCCCTAAGATCTGTCCTGATCTAGAAAAACATCAACAAAGCTTAAAAAATGTCAGTATTGCATTGAAAAATAGAACAGCTTTAAGTGGTTTATAGTTATTAGCAGTGCTGCTACCTTTGGGTGTTTCAGTGAACTGCGTCTACTTTCTGGGTAACGCAGAACAATCACCACTGTTCTTTTGTGATTCGTCTTACTGAGATATTTGAATACCAATAGCGATCGCTGATTCAGTTAGCGCGCCGGGGCTCCGCCCGGGCCTCGCCGCAGTTTACCAGCGCCTGTGTAAAGATTTTCAGCAGCGAACATGTTAACTTGGGTTTATACCATTTACTATATAACACTATAGATTGAAGACTATGCGGTCGGAGGTGTGAACATGAAATTTCTACAATGTACTACGTTGCGCATCGTGGGTGCACGTAGTACTGAGCCCTCTACTTAGATCACAGCACTGTTGTCACTAAGTTCATGGAACTGTCGCCTGGTGCACTGCAGTTGCTGCCAACTGGACTGGACTGTGTGACATTTTATTTTATTGGAAGAAAATACAAAAAAAATATATAAACAAGAAAAGTACAAAAATATATTTATTTAGCTACGTATTATTTGGAGAGAAATTTATGCTAGCTTGAATTTAGGAAAATATGTTGGAAACAGGAAAGATAGACAAAGAGACCTTGGATTTCAGGTGCATTCCTTATCTCTTTCATGTCCGATCAACTACAATACCTCTCCCCTTTCCCCTCCCCCCAAACCCCTTCTGTACTCTTCCATTCTGTGTCTAGTTCTAACTCTGAATTCTGAGTAGCAGGATATTTACTTGTTGGATCATAGTTTACTTGCCCGTTGTGGGGATTTATGTCCAATAATTATTGAAGATTTGTTATTTAGTCAGTATTAGTTCACATATTTTGGTTTGGAGTACAGTGCAGTTAAATTTGTCTATTAATATTATAATTGACAAAATCTGAGTTGTGTTACAATCATTTTCATACAGGATTATCTTAACTTACTGAATAACACAAAAAATATTGCAGAAGCCTTAGGGTAAGTTTATTCCATGTATTATTTTATTAGATTTACGGTGTTTTCAAGAAATTTGTAGTTTCAAGTGATTTAAATAATTTGTAAATTTGATTTCAAACTGCCAAAATTGAATTGTACAGACCTGTCAGATTTGGACAAACTAAAACCTGTTGGTAAAGTTACAAGTTTGAAGTTACAAAATTTTCATAAATTGTTGTTTGTAACTTGAGAAATGATATTTAATTGATTGTTTAGAAACAAAGGTATACATACTGAAAGTTGATTTTGCAATGAATAATTATTTTAAAATGCTCTTCTTTTGTCAAAGACAAAAATGTATCAATTAATTCTAGTGTTTAATTCTTTTATCATGTGTTTAATTGTTTTGTACAGTAAAAATTAACTTGTTTATTTTACCAGGCACATTGATCAGGTATGTACATTGTATGGTTCAATTTAATGTTGTATTACCGGTATTATTCAATTGTTGTATATTTATCCTTGAAAATTGATTAACCTTGTAAACTTGTATTTTTATTAGGCTGTAATACTTTTTGTTGTAAAGCTGTATATACTCCCTTTCTAAAAAAAAAGAGCTGTTTTGTAATGTCATACATAATTTTTGAGTGTTAAAAAAAGTATAATGAATTCTTGGCTTATGTTTAAAAGTAAATAATGTTTCATTAAAATAAAATAATGAAATGTCTTAAATATTGCTCACAAAAAGCTTTTGAGTTGCATTGTTTACTTATCAAAAAATGTTTGGTTAAAATGCTTATCTACAATGAAATAATCAATAATAAGACACTTGTTATTTATATCATGGGTTATTTCAGGCTTCTTATGTATAGCCTACAAAGGATCTCATGTCTCGCTCTATTCACGTAAATGAAGCTGGAATATAACTAAATTGGAATACACTAATACGAGTTGGATTCAATAATTATAACCCAAACTGGTAACAAGTTAACCCAAGGACTTCCTAGATCATCAAACCAAGGTAGACAGACTTTATACTTTTATTTATTGCTGTGCAACCTCACTTCAGCGTCCCTGCATAGTGCCACAGACTATTGGATTTTGTGGAGTAAATTGTGTAAATAGGTGTCTACAGTACAGCCGGAGAACTTTTGTATATTATAAATTTTAATTAAGTTTTCTCTGTGGTAGTCGGATATAACTTTAGAAATTGTTCCAAGGGTATTTTATTTAATTATTTTGTAGGGTTTATAATCTCAAACTGCATATTATACATTGTATCCAACCTAACCTTTGTTTTCTCTTACTCCCCCCCCCCCTCCACCGACCTGAACAAACCGAGGCAAGAATATTTTAAGATAACTGAATTTAGGTCTGTAACAATAAAAATGGCGCCCAACGTGGGGCCTGTGGTTGGATTACTACTTCATAATAATTTTGGACTTGAATTATTTTTGAAGAATATACCAAAATTATTCTGGGCAGATTTTTGCACTTGAAGTTTTTGACTTATGGAGTTGAGGAAGTCTATGGCACATGCAGTTAAGTGAGATAAGTTTATACAACTGGTTCATACTTGAAAATATATTAGGCCTAACTGAACATTGATTGAAAATATATTAGGCCTAAATGAACATTTATTGCAAATATATTAGGCCTAACTGAACATTGATTGAAAATATATTGGGCCTAACTGAACGTTGATTATTTTATGAATCTTGTAATGACTTAGCCTATATTTATTTGAGGTCTACATTTTCAGGAACTACTTGGGAAGTATTTTGTATTATTTATAGGAGTAAATATTGTTGTTTTCAGCCCTAATAGTGTGTATATTGCTTCTTTATGATATTTTGTCCCATTTATATGTGTTTTTGGTCATTTACTTGAATATTGCCATTTATTTGAAATTTTCAAAATGATCTACAAGTCTTCTCATATCAACCACTTGGATAGGGGTGAACTCAAACATGAACTGGATGTTAGGAGCTTTAAGGATCATTCTGGAATTAGGATGGAGGATTTAAGGAAGAAGTTAAGGAGATTTTTGAAGAAGGAAAAGTCTGGAATTTCTGCTATCCCTGTAGCAATTGATGATGAGCATGAAGTTGAAGCCTGTCGAGAAAAATAGGCAAACTTACTGAAATGTTGAATCTTCTGATTTTACCATTGGAGGGTACTGATGTACCTAAGTTGAAGCGAAGATTAGAGGCTGCGATTTTTCACACGTATCAGAGAATTGAAAGAATAGGTAAGGGTTATGAGGCTGAGGGTCAGAAACTGAGCCGCGATATAAAAGATATCATAAGGAGATTTGAAAAAGTTGTTGGCCAATCACTACAGGATATTACAAGTGATTCTGAAAAGACAGATTCTGCCAATGAGAGTGGAGATATGGAAACTATGAGCTCAAATAAGGTTGATGGGCGCAACACATTAGTTGGTTTTCAAACTAGTGCTTCATCGGATGAAGGAAATGGAGCGAGTGCCTCACATAAATTAAAATCAAAAGTTTTGGAAGTAAATAAGAAGATGAATGGGAATTTTCAAAGGAAAACAAAGAGTGGAGGAAAGAAGTCTACCCGACCAACTACATCGGGTACTGAATTCTCCAGTGAAGAAGAAGCTGACTACAAGCCGCTGAAGAACAAAACTAAGAAGAGTAAGAAGAAGAAGAAGAAGAAGTCTCGCCACTACAAAGAATCATCTTCGTCATCATCGTCTACTGAAATTTCAGATGAAGATCATGCTTTTAATTCAAGAAAAATCATGCTCAAGAGAACTCCTGTTAGATTGTGGAACTTAAAATTTTCAGGAGATGACAACAATAGTGTTGGTGCATTCCTGGCTGATGTTGAGGATAAACGTGTTGCAAATCATATGACTTTCAGAGAACTATTCAATGCTGCCGGCGAACTTTTTACTGGTTCTGCCTTAGCAGTCTATAGGTCTTGTAGAGGAATAATTGAGGACTGGCAAGGGCTTGAAACAAAATTATTATATGCATTTCAAGATCCTGACTATGACAGAAGACTAATGCGAGAAATTGAAAATAGGAAACAAGGATCCGAAGAAACTGTGACAGTCTACATTGCCAAGATGCGTAGCTTGTTTGGTCGCTTGACTAGGCCAAAATCTGAGGGAGACATGTTGGATATTATTGAAGAAAACGTACTTCCAGAATATCAGTCTGCACTTTGTTTACAAAATGTTAAAAATATTGATGAGCTAGAGATTGTTCTATGTAGTCTTGAGAAAGGTCGACTTAGAGCTCAACGCTATGATATGAAACCACAACGAAGTCTTCTCGAACCTGACCTTGCATATAAGCCTAGAGTGAGGAGAGATAATATAAAAATATCAACTGTGGAGTCATCCAACGTCTCTCAGAACAAAACCAAGCATCAATCAAGTTGGTCAAAATCTGCATACACCTGCTGGAATTGTCGAAAACCAGGACACGTTTTTGCTGATTGCTTTAAGCCAAAGACAATATTTTGCTATGGTTGTGGCAAAGAAAACACTATAAAATCAAAATGCCCTTCCTGCCAACCAAAAACAACCCCGTCTGAGTCGGAAAACTCTCATGCGGAACGTCATGTGTCCGGCAACCGTTCCGCAAAAGTCAAAACCAAGATCGATTAAGTCCGGATAGAATGTTAGGCAATAGTTCTGTAAATATTACCTCCTTATTAACCTTCAAAGAAGGAGATGTCAGGCCATATCTTCATGTGAATATTGGTGGTTCAAATATAATGGGTTTATTGGATTCAGGAGCTAATAGGACTTTGATAGGAGATAAAACTCGAAGAATGTTAGAAATATTGGGACATAGGATCAGATCTTCTAGTGTTACTCGTGCTACTACTGCTGATGGATCAACATGCACTATTGGAGGAGCAATGGATGTTCCGATAGAAGTAGATGG